CGAGGCGGAGAGCGAGTTCACAGCAGCAGCAGCAGCAGCAGAAGCTGCTGCTGCTGCTGCTGCACCGCAGCAGCAGCAAGCAGCTCTCGAAGCAACCGCTTTTACTCGTCTCCTCCAGGGCAACACAGCCGGAGCAGCGCAGCAGCTGAAGCAGGCTGAAGACCTGAACGTGAGTCTTGCTGCAGCAGCAGCAGCAGCAGCAGCAGCTGCTGCTGCTGCTGCTGTTGCTGCTGCTGTTGTTCTCTGCTGTTGCTGCATGCGTTTCTCCCTTGGGTGTCTCCTGCTGCTGCTGCCTGGGCAGCCATTCCCGCTGCACTGCAGCACAGCTTGTGAGGCCGAGGCAGCAGCACATTCTCTGCTTTGCTGCTGCTGCTGCTGCTGCTGCTGCTGCTGCTGTCGTTGCTGCAGGCAGCAGCAAACCGACCCAGTGCGCTTCTCGCGCTGCTGCAGTGGGAGCTCAGGGCCCCCTACAGCAGCATAGCATCAGAGAGCAGCAGCAGCAGCAGCAGCAGGAACAGCAGCAGCAGCAACAGCAATGGCAGCGGCGCCACTAGCAGCAGCACGAGCAACGGCACCGGCACCAACAGCAGCAGCAGCAGCAGCAGCAGCAGCAGCAGCAAGAGCAGCAGCGGCCTCGTCAAGCTTGCTGCTGCAGTGCGTGCTGCAGCAGCAGAATGGAGAGTGCTGCTGCAGCATGCATGCGGCTTCGAGCTGTATGGGGCTTTGCGGGCCCCGCTGTGGGTGATGGTGTGCTCCAGGCTGCTGCATGCAGTTTGTCTTGCTGCTGCATGCAGCACAACCAGGTAAACTGCTGCTGTTGCTGCTGCTGCTGCTGCTGCTCCTGCTGCTGCTGCTGCTGCTGCTGGTGCTGCTGCTGCTTGTGCTTCGGACGGTGCTGCTGCTGCTGCAAGGAGACAAAAAGAGACAGATAGAGACAGAAAGAGACAGAAGGAGACAGAAAGGAGACAGAAGGAGACAGAAAGAAAGAGAAGCAGATGATGAGGGGGAGACAGAGACAGATAGAGAAAGAAGGAGACAGCTAGAGAAAGAAAAGGAGACAGTTTGTCTTTGCATGCGTTTGTGTGCATGCATGTGCATGCATGCAGCCCCACCGAGGTTTTAGGGTTTTGGGGGGCGACAGAGCCGATTGCTGCAGTAGCAGCAGCAGCAGAGCAGCAGCTGCTGCGGCAGCTGCTGCAGCAGGTTATAGAGATCTCGCTGACGCTGCTGCAGCATATACCTGCACACTATGACTTGCAGGTCAGCTGCTGCTGGGGCTGCATGCATCCCCCTGCATGCATGCATGCATGCATGCATGCACGCATGCATCCCCCTGCATGCATGCATGCATGCATGCACCCCCCTGCATGCATGCATGCATCCCCCTGCCTGCTTGCCTGCATGCATGCATGCATGCATGTCTGCATCCCCCTGCATGCATGCATGCATGCATGCATGCATCCCTCTGCATGCATGCATGCATGCATGCAGCAGAGCAGCTCAGGGGGGCCGCTGCAGCGGGAGGGGGCGGAGTAGCATGGTGCTGCTGCTGGCTTTGCTGCTGTTGCTGCTTCCTCTGGTTATTTATTGCTGCTGCTGATGGTTGTGCTGCTGCTGCTGCTGCTGCTGCTGCTGCAGCTGCTGCTGGCTAGGGCGTTGCTGCTGTCTGGGGACCTGGATCG